ATAAATGAGAACGATCAAATAAGAGTGAAACCTTTGAACTACCCTCTGGGATCAGGTAATTTTTCATTCTTCCTTGATGGACGTAACAATAAGAATTGGGATCCTTTTTGGCGCCATGATGGTACCGATGAAATTGATTACGAACCTCATCTGGGTGCAAAGTTAGATTACATAGTGTACTTTAATGCTAAGCAACTCAGACATTCCGAAATGACATTATTACAAAATCAATATGAACTCGGAAGAGCACAAATTCTAACAATAATGATGTTAATTTTACAAAACACCAGGCTTGCAGGATATATGCTAACTGGTAACCGCTCTATGTTCTTGGACACCAATGGACCAGTTGGCTGGCAATATTTCTGCCCTAAAAAAGTTTCACCTCTTAATGTTCTCGAAAAAAGTTTTGATCGAATACCGATCTACTATAATGGGCAAACGATGTTTGTCGACCCTATTACCCGCTAAAGTTTTCCTTTTGCCAACAAAAAACATTGCGTTGGTGGCTACAAACGTTTTTTCAACTTGATTTACATGGCAAATTATCTTAGTACCATTAATGCCGGCTCCAATACCTTTCAAGACTTTAATGTCACTCAACAAGATATAGAACATATTACGGATTTTCCAGTATACGATTCGAGACGCGCAGGCATGTATACACGAAAACAATTGAAAACTTTTTGGGATAACATCATTTATAACACAGCATCAACATCTATTCTAAAACAAATACCAGAACTGTTCTCCAAAATGGGTTTTCTCTAAATCACCTCATCGGAACATTCGGTTTCTCCCTTTTTTTCTCGGAAAAAAATCGGAATTTTGTTTGCCTGTTCTTTTTCTCAAATTTCTGCTAGCAATAATTGTAGCAATTATTGAAGCTTTAGAAATAAATAAGCTAACAAATCGTATTATGAGCTTCTGGAAGATAATGTTAAGTGCAACGTATAACATTTTCGTTCAGTCAATTTTTACTTCAATTTTTTCAAACGAAAACTCCAACCGTGAATCATCAGCAATGAGAAATTGAAGACAAAAAAAACTACGACAGCAAAACCTTAATCAAAATAATTACCAAGGGAGCACTGCTTCGACACATATAGTAGAGAAATCTGAGCCGGCAATACCTTTATAGCAACAAGATTCACGAAACGAACCTGGTCTATACCCAGACTTAAACAACGAAAAATAACATTTAGTACGGAATACTAGTATGAACATGTAATAGCATTACCTCTAGCCTAACAATCCCTCAATCAACAACCAACAACAACATTATAAAACCAATGTAAGGCAACAGTTTTCTATTTTAGATGCCCTCAAGAAAATTATGTATCTCTATAGACTAAAAGCTAGTCGATATTTTAGACAGACAAGTTCTTTTACTGATTCAATTTCCCACACGTGCAAATAATCTGTTCACACGAATAGCAGCTGTTGACTTACCTCATTTAGGAACCAATAATTTACCAAAATCCTTCATCACTCAAGTTTGATTATAAACTTTAGTATCCGAATGTAATTCAAGATTTTGAATATATAACTTATTTTATACTGATGTTTAGCAAAATGTTACATGACCCAAATATGAATTGGATCTGCAGAAATGCCGACCCCGCACCCAAGCAGTTCAAAAGAAAATTGCCTCTCTGAAAGAAGAGGCAATTGAAATCGGTAGTAAACTCTCCTAGTATGTCAATTGACGACGGGTAAAACAAAGACCCCAGAAACTTTCCCAGCCTGAAGCAAAGATTGGAACTACAAAAAGACAGAGAACTATAATTGGATACGGTGAACCCCCAATTTATAACCAGTTAAGAGTTTTCCATAAAACAGAACTACAACCGGCGGAAACTGCCATCCTTTGTAGATGTCGTCAACTCAACGACAATGAAAAAGGCATTGATGCCGATTGAATTTATAACTCAGCCAGAAAATTTAATAAAGGAAGAAACCAAATTCTGGAAAATAAAGAAAAGAGTAGAACAAGATTACATTTTGAGAGCAAAGCGAACTCAGATAACCATCCCATTTGAGGCTATAACTGCTTTCTCAAATCAACTAAAACCAAAGCAAAATGAGAGAGATGAAATCAAAGAACTTACAGATGGGATAAGCAGACTGACCTTTAAGAATAAAACGAAGAAGAAGAAAATAGTCAAACTACAGAAGAAACTAGAGTCTTCACAGAGGAAGATAGCGATCCTCAGAGCTTACTACGTGGATCAAGTAGCTGGAAAGAAACTCCAAAAAAAAAAGTTTTTCAAAATAAATCATTATTAAATTGCGTCCATTAACTTAAACTTGTATGCATTACCATTTTATTTGATGTTCTTTTTAATGTTCTAACTAAATTATTAAAGTGTTTAATTTTCACAATGGTAGCTGTAAGAATCAAACAGCTCATTTTTCTAAGAAAAAAGGGTGAATTGTAGTATCGCAAAAAAAAAACACGGACAAAAGACCATTGTCTAAATTGTTTATTGTTTATTTAACGACCAATTCAAAATTGGAGCTTGCCATTTAAAATAAAACCTCTTTTCACTAAATCAGATATTAACTGATTTTCCTAATAGAACTATAAAAAAATTTTTTGAAAATCTACTTCTTTTCAAATACTCGTCCACTTTTTCTCAGTTTTTCATGCTCAGTATATTAAAAGGGCAGCGGTTACTAACACGTACCTTTTAACCTTAACTTGAAACAAGATGGATAAATATTTAGCAGTCTTGCCGGCTGCACCGGAATTCTCCTGGCTTTGATTAAACAGATATGCACTTGCAATATGATGCATCAGAGAAAGTAATATGAATTTTAAATGAGACCAAACTGAAGGCTGCGGTTTTAATAAAAGCGACTAATAATTCGAAGATACTTGATTTGAAAAAATCAATGAAAATCTAGTTGAAAATTCCTTTATGAGAAAGGGAGAAAAAAGGAGCTGGTGAAACCTGAATACTTAAATATGAATCAGCCGCCGGTTTATACTAACGAACAAAAAGACTGGCCTGAAATCTTCAGTATTTCATTTTGCTCAGCCAGCAGCAAGTATTATAACTTAACAACTTTAATTTTAAAATGAATAAATTTTCTCTTTCACTCTTACAAAAATATAAAACTAGTCTTCTTAAATAATTCTAATCTAAAAATAATTCTCTTTCTGAATTCGATAAAAAACATAAATCGTGATAAGTAAAATCGATGAAACATGGATCACAAGGACGAAACGGACACGAATACTGCTGACTACCCAACAGAAGTGGACTTAACCAGGAGTGACTGGAGAGTACTACACAATCATCAACCTAAGTAAGAAGAAAAAATTTTGATGAACAAATAAAAGTAATTAATCCACCCCTCATAGGTATATTTCTTAAAGCTGTTCGTTTCAATTTATTAATCTAATAACCTTGTGCTTTGTATTCATCCAATTAATTAATTCATACTTTTTGTAACTATTGTTCCTACAATAACGTTTGTCAAGAAAACTTGACGATCTAAGGTGAGACTTACTTATAACTTAGGATAGACTACTAAGCAATCAACCAGCAATGATCGCCAAGTAAAGCTCGCCTAGATTAATAACTCGAAATTAGACCAAAAGTCTAGACCAAACGCGCTTTTCACAGTTTTGAGGTACACTTTTTAATGTGGTTCAAATCACAGCTGAGAGACCTTCAATCTGATATATCACTCAGCGCATTCCGATTATGATTTTTAGAACCTCATTTTGAGTGAAAAAAAGAAAGAAAGTACAAGGTTAGCCGGTTGCTGTGCAAGTAGCACAGAATGTTCCGACCATATTAAAAAAACTACAAAAAAATTGAGAATCAATAAAATTTGTTAAAATTAATCTTGCCAGGGATTTGCCAAATAAGCTTTCAAAACTTATTTCCGTTTACAAGTTATCATATTTTTATTCGGTCAAAATTGGTTGAAAAACTAAAAATTTCAAACCGGTTTTTCTTGACACTGGATATTTTTTCTTGAAAATTAGTTAATGTTAGTTAGATAATTTTGTAATTTTTATTATGTTAGATATTTTCGTAAAAATTAATTAATTACGACTGAAAGCGCTTTAAAAAGACATATCATTCGACCCATTCCAATGATTGTTTGTGGTGCCTGTTTTTGCCTGGAAAACAAAAAAGAAAAACTAAAACACACTCGAATCCAATAAAAAACAATACGCAACATGATCAAACACAGTTTGCCGTGCTTGAGTAAACAAAAAGTTTCCCCTGATACTATTTTTTAATTCTTTTTCCTTACGGGGCCAAACTGTGCATTTTGTGCATTGTAAGCGGATTCCGCAACAAGGACGCTCCCTTTGTTCTTCTTTTGTTCTTTAGTTTTCTTTGATCGTTCCGACAAAATTTTGCCATGTTTAAAGACTTGGCTCTGGAATCGAGGAACATACAAACACAAAATTTTGCTCCTATCCAGTGCACAGTTTGGCCTCGTAATGTTGGTCACGTTTTTTATCCCAAAGGGCCTAAGAAAATTCACAAGACTGGATATAACAAAACTAATATCGAAACTTAGATTTGAAGTCTTTAAAAAACACAATTTTTAACTTTCATATGCCATTTCAAAAAAGAGTGACTCCAGAAAAGGTATCAAAAGCCTTCTGATGGTAAAATTTTTGAAGTCTTGTGCAGGTTTCGACAAAAGAAAAGTATATAAATTGATCGCACTTTTTTTTGTCGGTTTATCATAACCATTAATCAGAATTTGTGCTCATCCTGGAACTGTGCATTAACCTGTAAATTTCAGTGATTTATTTTGCTTGTTGCTTGTTTTCAATGTTCTCAATGTCATTCAAAAATCATTTCCCGTTTCATTCTAAAGTTTTCACTCATTTATCGCATTTTTTTGTCAAAAACTGATGATCACAAAGAAAAAATTTTCAGGTTTCATTCGAGTCAAAACTTGATTTGAAGCATTTGAACTTGAATTATGCAACAAAAATTTTCGAGCTTTTGTTAATTCGAATGAGTCAAACAGAATCCGAAAAAGCAAGGCCGGTCAAAATCTGGACTGATTCATACTTCTACAAGCACAGATGTCTGGAAAATTCGTTCAAGGAACTAATTTTACGCGTCTATTACCGATTTTGGGCAAAAAAGTTGCCTGTTCGAAAAGACTACGAAATGCTGCATGTATTTGTAAAACAGCCGATGCATTTGAGACACTCAGTCTGTTACCAAGTTTTGACTGATTTGATCAGAGTGCGAGAAAAACTAGACTTGAAACATATTTATTATCGAGAACTCAAGTATTTTCTTCGTAAGTTAATACGAATTATTTACCCGAGATTCAGAAGTGCGGGACCTTTGTCAGTTTCCAAAATGTCAGTTACAAGCAATTTCTTAACTGAAACAAGGCATGGATCACTGGAACACATCAACAAAATGGACGGAAAATATAAGTTGCTCAAAGCTGAAGGTGATTGCCCCGACGGTTTTGTTCGCATCTCAAAAATTGTTCGAAAAATTACAGGAGTTCACAAACGGGCTCCCAAAAAAAGGTTCAGACGGGTTACCAGTTGGCAGTCGGGGTCATCGAAGGTCGGCGATGATTCGTCAACGACTTACGACAAGCCGGCTCCTGCATTTGCAAGTGACTCATCTCAAAGCGAAATATCATCTCATTCGGAAACATACGAAGACACCTCAGAATCTAGATTACAACCGGGAAATCAGAATCTACGAATGGGAAGCGAGCACGTATTTGACTCATCATTCAGTTCAGTCTCAGATATTCAGCTAGGGTCGGCACAGAAGCTTCCGAGCTTGGTTGTAGACTCAATTCCCGTTGCCACTAGTTCGGAAGCCGGAAAAACTGGTACTGGAAAGAATGTTCAGAAAAACGGAAAGACAACTGTTTCCGATGCCTTGAGAGTTTCAATAATGGACACAAAACTGCAACAAGGTCAATTGAACCCCGATAGCTCTGATGCTACAAGTGAATTAGAGTCTTCAGAACAAGGATTTCTCAAAAATATCAAAGGAATTTTCAGCAAAGGTGACAAACAAAGTAAAAACAAAACTAGGGCAAAGCGACAGCACGCTAAGAGCGCTGGGAAAAAAGGTCAAAAGTCAAATGAGGGTTCTGACATGTCGGAAATTGGCAGTTCAAAATCAGTTTCGTTCAAAGACAAAGAGAAGAACGCGACTCAAGTGCAGAATTATGAAGAAATGGGTGTTTTGGATGTCGGTGAGCTGGAAAAGTTCCAGCAGGAGGCCCAGTTTTGGAGACACGAGCCAGGAATTGTGCGAAGGACAAGTATCCATGGACGCATGTCGATGCTCTTCAAATCTGCTTTCAGAGTGGGCGCGAAAGATGTAAATACTAATTTTAACTTTTTTCTTATTAGATTTCAAAAAAAACGAAGAGTGTCTCATTTTTCAGACAAATTGAAACACTAAAACAGAATGCTTAAAAATTGGCTCAACGGCGATATTGGATTGTTTTTTTTTCTGATGAGATTCCAAATCATCGCAATTTCAAAATCAGTGTTCTTATTTAGAGATTAGGCTTAATCAAATTGAACTCGTTAAGCTTAGTCTATCAAAAAACGTGGTTGTTCTTACTTTTAAAAAACGAAAAAATTGCTGCAGAATGACATTGGTATTTATGTTTGCACTTTGGTAGAGCGACTGTCTCTGGCGTGAGTTGCATGATGCGGAGTTGAAAGCGAGCAACTTCAAGACACGCTTCATCTTCATTGACCCGTCCCGACTGGTCATGACAGTCCACTCCTACCTCATCAAAGCCATAGACCAACTGCGGGTATGGGCCATAACTCACTTTCGCTCTCTTCTTTTCAATGGCCACACAACTAACTTTGGCATGCCAATTTTCAGGCGTTTTTTTAAAATAAATTGCCGTTTGATTTTTTTCTCAAAGGCGTTTGTCTGTGATATGTTTGTCTGGAGCAATATTGCTGAATCAGTATATGAGAATTTTGATACTGCTGCAACATTAATCAAAACGCTCAGAACTAACTACTACCTGAAAAATCAGTTTAAGGCATTCGTATTGTGTATGCCCTTTTCAAATGTCTTTTCTCTTTGGTACCATTATTTTATTGTATAAATATTGTGGCGGATATGTATTATTTTGAACTGAAGGGCTCAAACTCAAAATAAAATAAAATTCATTGAAGAAGAAGTTGATTTGAACTTGTTGGATTTTTCTCAATTTAATTTTTTGGAAATGAGGATATTTTAGAGGGAAAGAATTCAAGCAAAAAGTATGACTCCATGTCCTTTTAAAAAGACAAACTTTACTCTTTAAGTATAATTTTTTTGGCATTGCAGACAGGGGGAACAAATTGATTTTCTGAGCTCTTTCAATTCACTATAACCACCCTATTTTGATCAAACAATTTTCGGCTATAAACAGTTCAAAAAAGCGTTTTTTAGACACTTTTTTGAAAATTTCGACCAATTGGCGCGCGTTTTTTTGGCGCGCGCTCTTCCTCAAAGTTAGTATATTTTGGCGCCTTAAGCGCCTTTAGAAAAATTTTAGGGTCGTTCGGCCAAAAGTGGATTTCGTAAAAAATACCAAAGGGGGACGGCAGGGGGTCGGCAGGGGGTCGAATCCCTGAGGAGGCGGCGTCCGCCCCCTCCCCCGCCCCGCAACGCCCCCTCCCTAATCAGTCAGTTGGTCAGCCAAAATAAAGGATATATTAAAAAAGAACCAAAGAAAGGAACTGAAGGAGACCCCAACAAAACCCACCCCAAACTGTAGAGTATATTTCTGTCTGTAGATTGTGCAGAAGAATATGTTCTCTTACTTGTTGGAGCTGAAAAATCACTTGACACTGAAGCAGAAAGATCTCAAGAGGAGAGCTGTGGGAGGGGGCAAGGACAGGAGAAAGCAGGAAGCAGACAATGCCAGAATCACTGGAGGCGATGTCGCCATCTGGGTATGTTTTGCACCATCATGAATACCATCTTCATTTTGAATGTCTTTTACATCTTTAAACAATTTTTTCTTCAATTTGAAGCAATAAATATCTGCAATAAACTGTCTCATCAGCAAAAGTGGACTTACTCCACTTTATTGTTCCGGTTTCCGAAGGAAAGAACGGTAAAAATGTAGTTGGAGTGGTTTTTTTTAGATTTTTTTTCAGTAATTTTTTTTATTGAAAAATATTTGGCCAAAAACATCTTATACCACCAATGTCCTGGGCTCAAATGTAGACAAGCATTTTTTCGGAAACAATCGCAATGAAAAATGATAATTTTTTCAAAATAATTTTTCGAGAAACTGAGGGTTGAAAGCTGCCAGTTTGACAGTATTGAGGTAATGTTTTTGTTTCGACTATCAAATAAAATGCGGCGTATTTATGCGCTGGGTGGTTTTCTTATTCAGTCGAATTTCGGTGATCCAAAAAGAAAATTTTAACGAAAAAAGTGACAGGATGTTTGTAGTCGATTCATTTTTCCTAAATTTGATAAATTTAACTATCATGTTTTGACGGAATGCTTTGTATCAACTAAGAGACATCACCGGATCCATCCCGGATATAAAAAACGGGGCCTAGGAAATTAGACGACAAAAAATTGGACGACCGTAAAGAAACGGAATTTACGGTCAACCAGTATTTACTCAGCCAACATTTATTTTAAGTCTGTAAACAAATTTCTTGCAATTTACTCGCAAGTTATTGTCTAAAATGGACAACGAGTATTTACTCAGCCAAAAGATAATTTAGGTCTGTATGTAAACATATTTCACGCAAGTTATTGTCCGAATTCCGTCTTTTTTGATCGTCGAATTTGCTGGTCGCCTAATTTCCTAAGCCCCAAAAAACTCCCTCGCGATTGTTTCCGGTAAAAGTATGCCAACTCTAGATAAAATAATTTAAAATGATATTTTAGAAAATTTTTTCAATTTTTACAAAATAAAATTCACCTAATATTCTTTAAATGGCTTCGGCAGGATATATTTAAGGCTCCGGCAGGATCCAGGAAAAACTGCTTTAAATTTAAAACCGATAGAAAAATTTTACCCATATAAATTACCGAATAAGTTTGAATACCAATGAGAGCTGAACAATTGTTCTGACCACTGAAAATGGGGATTAATTTTGTATTCGGGTGTTTGTTATTTTTTTTGTAAAATCAGGAACCACAAACAATCACCGCAATCTCCGGTTTAAACATTTTGAAATTAAATCTAAATTCAAGCAAATAAAGCGAGCGAGTTACGTTTGTTTTTGTAGGTAGAGTTTGGCGTCCAATAGCTAATTTAAGCCTGATTTGAGCCGTGAAAACTTTGTTAGTTTATCAGCGCCATTCTGGGAATCAAAAACTTCAAAATCAATAAATTTCTGCAAAAAAAATTTTAAAAAAAAATATTTCAAAATTATTTTTCTGATTGTATTGGTTTTTTTAGTAATTTTTTTAATAACTGGTGTTCATTATGCTTATTTTACTATGAATGTCGATTATGCTTAACTTCTAGGTTTTCGTTCAGATCCATTTATCACACCACGAAAAAAACGACACTAATTTGGAAAAAAAATACTTTGAAAAAGAAACTATGGTCGGAACATTCTGTGCTAATTGCACATTAACTGGCTATCCTTGTTTAAAATATGAAATAGCTTCATTATTAGACATAGTTTTGGGTTTTATCTATCACAGGACCTATCTAACAGCATTAAGTTTCTGCGATTAAAAAAGAAAGTTTCAGAAATATCAGCATAAGCACATGTATTCCAAACGCTTAACGACAGGGTACTTTTTTGTAGCTGTTTTTTTTTTTCAGAGCACAAAAATTTTTGACGAATGGGTCGCTCACACGGACGCAACACACAACAGTCTGAGCAATCTGAAACACTGTCTTAAACACATGACGATGAGACTGGATAAAGTCTGCAACGAAATGCTTGCTCTCTTAGACGCGCAGAAAGAAAACACTCTCAAAACTTCAGTGAAACTGAGACAGTTTTCTCTTTCGAGTCCGAGTCACACGATGGAAAATATGTGGTCTCTGTTTTCAACCAGGCTTCTAGAAATGGTGATTACAGATTACAACAATATAGGATACATGCAAATGGTGGTGTTCAACAACCTACCCGAGCATCGAGAAATGCCCTACCCGTCAGGTGTGGCGATGTTGATCAGACAACGATTGAAACGGAAGATTTCAATCATAGATGAAGATTTTATTATTCTCGACCATATCCTGAAAAAGTTATAGACTCTTAATGGTATCCCTTTTGCTTGTAATTATCTAATATAGAGGCTTGTATTTAGACCGTTTGACCTTGAAATCACATCTTTTTGAAATCCTTTAAAGAGCAATGGCTAGTAAAAATTGAAAGATAAGTATGAAAAAGGCCATTTTCCGGCTGATGATTGTTAGGCAAAGGATCTTCTCTCATCCCATTGCGAAGCTTTTGAACGTTTTTCAGCACTTTTTGACTCATGACCAAACTATTGAAATAAAAAATTAAGGATACGATGGGTAATTGAGTGTAACAGTAAAAAGTTTTAAAAAAGGTCGAAAAATTTCTAACAGTAGAACTAGGAAACAATTTGCATTTTCAAAATTTCTCAGTTTTCAACAGTTTCACTTCTCCCTAAATAGACCAAAAGAACTGTCACCACTAGAGAAAGCAAACTCAAACCACTTTTTAATTTAGATTAATAACATTTTTTTTCGAATACCGGATTGTTTGATAGAAAAATTTGCCAAATAATTTGATATTGACAAAAAATTTTTTAATTTTCGAAAAAAGGTGTTAAAGGAAAACTGACGATACGCAGTGAAGTTATTGAAAATTTAAATGAACTTCGTACTTGTAAACGTGGGGTAATTCACAATATCTCTAGGCCGGCTTTTCTCACTCGCTATCGTCCCTCGCACCGCCGCAATATGTTCCCTTTAGTACTGGGGTCAGTGGGGCAACCGATTCCCAGTACTGTTTACAATCCCAAAAGGGTTGATTTGGTGGTTGGCTTCTCTGTATCGTACTATGCTGCTTGCCCCGTGATCTGTGCTCTTCCGACTGTATCTCACTCGTCAATCAATAGTCGATCGCAACAAAATTTCCAATAATAAGAATGAATTAAGAAATAAATATAACTAAATACAGAGTAGCCTATAAATGGCTGGAATATAAATTAATCGTTCAATTAAAGAAAAGGGTCTGCGATTTATATTAACTAACTAACTGCCTTCAACAGTCATTTATTTTCCAACCCTAATTATCTTCAGAGCTACAGTTTAATCCCGAAAGTACTTTAGAAAGAAATCACCTCACCCGATAAATTAACAACTTTCACGAAGTTGTTCCTTTAAGGCTTTTTGTAATTCTTCCAACCGACTTACTTAGTCTTCGTTCATTTTCGTTCTCTGTTGACTTTGAGAATCAAGCGACTACCTTAGCTTGTAGCCCAATTTGTTCTCTAACTAACTGAGAACCAACTACTCTTGATAGTAGCTCACTCTGTTCTGCTTAAGGATAAGCTGCTTGCTATTCTCTAAAATATTTGTCTATTTGAGTTTTAGTTATAGTTAGAGTTCTGACATTCCGCATAAGTCTTAACTTTTACTGATGTGCCTCCTACGCAGCGTTCCAGATCTTAAACCCAGCATGATCACATTAATTTAAATGCCAAGTTCAAAATGCCAACCAAAGCTATGCTAAGCAAATAACAAATGCAACTTCAATTTAATTCAAGCTATATTTACATATCAAAATGCCCAAGGACTTTATTTAATTTTCCCGTATCTTTTCCCTTTTCCCGTGACTGGGATAATTTCCCAGTGAACTTAATTTCCCGTTTATCACAATCCGAAATTTCCCATACGTAACCTATTCAAATTTCAACCTGATCGACCTTCAGTTTTTGCCGTTCCCTTAACTGGGGTCCAATTGAGTCAATAAAACACCCTCCAGAAGCCAATGGAATATCCTGTATATTCCTAACATTCAGATTATTTTATTCCCCTATTTCCGTGTTTATACCGCCAAAATAATATGCGACTACTTTTCTGTGCCATTGACGCATTTTCTATTAATAGTTCAATCACCAAGTTAAATTGAACCCAATGTTTGTTTAGGTAAATCTTAATAATTCCAAAATATACCACTTCAGAGCTACAGTTTAAATGAACTTCGTACTTGTAACCTACCATAAGGTCCTTACGTCCATCACTCACTATTACATGCCCAGGTTACTATAGCATGTAATACAGTAGAATCACCAATTCTACAGTCTTCCCTTCTAGTCTATTATTCTCCCGAATATTGCTAAAAGTAACTCCTAACAAGGCCTAATGATAAGTTACATAAATCTTCGATTCGCTATGCTCCCTAACACTTAGTCGTTTTCTCTCCCTTAAAAGTCTTACCCTTAAAATATCGCGGACCCAACAGTTAGTCCCCGTTAAATAAACAATGATATAGCACAAAAAGTAACCTTAGAGGGGACGTAACTGAATTAATTTTACTCTTCATGGTACGATCCAACCCTTTCACATTCATAATCATCACTATCAATTGTCTGCACAATAGTTCAGGTGGGATCGCACTCAATGAAAAAAAACACCAACTAATGAGATAAAAAAGAGACAGTTTACTATTGTAAGTTTTAGCTCACAAACTCGTCAATTCCAAACCGTACAGGTGGTCTCCTTACTCGAGTTGGTCGACCACCATCATCTGCAGTTCCCATTTCTATCACCGGTTCGGCAGCCATCACCCCGCCAGGTGGTCTGTCTTCCGCCTGACAGGGTTGATTCGCTGGCTCCTCTTCCCTTCTGGCCTCCAGCTCCGTCGCTTCGTATGCCTCAATCGCATCTTCTCCCCGCCTAGCCTCTTCTCGCGTCATTCGTGGTGGATCAGCGAAGTGTTCGGGCATCGCCCGAATTCGCACATTCCTCCCGGGCGGATTAAATTGTGGCTCGACTGCTCGATCTCTCACAGGCAACAATCTCACTGGGACATCTCGTGGGCCTGGATCATGGCTAAAACCCTCCCCGTTGTTCGCCCTCAACAACTCCTCTTCATCATACATCTCCGGGTCATCGAAGAAGTTAACCGACCGATAGGGTGTCGGTCGCTTGCTGCTTGTAGCTTCATCTGACTGTGCCGTCTCCTTTTTGAATCGCTTCAGCATGTTGAAGTGCAAGAACTTGACTTTGCTAGGAGTTGACTCCTTTGCCATCTTGTAGTTCACTTCAGACATTCTCGCCAGTACAACATAAGGTCCTCCCCATGGATCAAAATGCTTCCTCGACTTGAATTTTTCCTTTGCCCACACCCAGACTTTATCTCCAGCTGCGTATGGTTCTCCATGAACTTTTTTCCAGTACTGATCCTCCTGTCGTCGTTGATCCATCCCAACGATTTCTCTTGCACTGCTATGAGCATCTCGGAAGAGCTCATCTAGTTCCTCTGCAAAACCATCCCTCGTCAGCACTTTGTCGTGAGGTTTCGCGTAGAACAGGTCAATGGGGTACTGGCATTCCTGACCATGAACCATAAGGTCAGTAACCTATTCAAATTTCAACCTGATCGACCTTCAGTTTTTGCCGTTCCCTTAACTGGGGTCCAATTGAGTCAATAAAACACCCTCCAGAAGCCAATGGAATATCCTGTATATTCCTAACATTCAGATTATTTAATTCCCCTATTTCCGTGTTTATACCGCTAAAATATTATGCGACTACTTTTCTGTGCCATTGACGCATTTTCTATTAATAGTTCAATCACCAAGTTAAATTGAACCCAATGTTTGTTTAGGTAAATCTTAATAATTCCAAAATATACCACTTCAGAGCTACAGTTTAAATGAACTTCGTACTTGTAACCTACCATAAGGTCCTTACGTCCATCACTCACTATTACATGCCCAGGTTACTATAGCATGTAATACAGTAGAATCACCAATTCTACAGTCTTCCCTTCTAGTCTATTATTCTCCCGAATATTGCTAAAAGTAACTCCTAACAAGGCCTAATGATAAGTTACATAAATCTTCGATTCGCTATGCTCCCTAACACTTAGTCGTTTTCTCTCCCTTAAAAGTCTTACCCTTAAAATATCGCGGACCCAACAGTTAGTCCCTGTTAAATAAACAATGATATAGCACAAAGATTAACCTTAGAGGGGACGTAACTGAATTAATTTTACTCTTCATGGTACGATCCAACCCTTTCACATTCATAATCATCACTATCAATTGTCTGCACAATAGTTCAGGTGGGATCGCACTCAATGAAAAAAAACACCAACTAATGAGATAAAAAAAGAGACAGTTTACTATTGTAAGTTTTAACTCACAAACTCGTCAATTCCAAACCGTACAGGTGGTCTCCTTACTCGAGTTGGTCGACCACCATCATCTGCAGTTCCCATTTCTATCACCGGTTCGGCAGCCATCACCCCGCCAGGTGGTCTGTCTTCCGCCTGACAGGGTTGATTCGCTGGCTCCTCTTCCTTTCTGGCCTCCATCTCCGTCGCTTCGTATGCCTCAATCGCATCTTCTCCCCGCCTAGCCACTTCTCGCATCATTCGTGGTGGATCAGCGAAGTGTTCGGGCATCGCCCGAATTCGCACATTCCTCCCGGGCGGATTAAATTGTGGCTCGACTGCTCGATCTCTCACAGGCAACAATCTCACTGGGACATCTCGTGGGCCTGGATCATGGCTAAAACCCTCCCCGTTGTTCGCCCACAACAACTCCTCTTCATCATACATCTCCGGGTCATCGAAGAAGTTAACCGACCGATAGGGTGTCGGTCGCTTGCTGCTTGTAGCTTCATCTGACTGTGCCGTCTCCTTTTTGAATCGCTTCAGTATGTTGAAGTGCAAGAACTTGACTTTGCTAGGAGTTGACTCCTTTGCCATCTTGTAGTTCACTTGTAGTCCATCTTGTAGTCCTCCCCATGAATCAAAATGCTTCCTCGACTTGAATTTTTCCTTTGCCCACACCCAGACTTTATCTCCAGCTGCGTATAGTTCTCCATGAACTTTTTTCCAGTACTGATCCTCCTGTCGTCGTTGATCCATCCCAACGATTTCTCTTGCACTGCTATGAGCATCTCGGAAGAGCTCATCTAGTTCCTCTGCAAAACCATCCCTCGTCAGCACTTTGTCGTGAGGTTTCGCGTAGAACAGGTCAATGGGGTACTGGCATTCCTGACTATGAACCAGACTGAATGGTGTCGCTCCCGTCGTCCGATGAATA